CTATAAGTTAAAACTTGCTGTTCTGAAGTGATAATATAGAACTCCTTTCATTTCTTTCACATTCCCTGTAATGAAACATTATAATACATATTATTCTTTGGTATTTCATAGTGAATAACATAACTACATATATACCGACTTCAATTTATTCAGAAACTTGTCAGTACTAAAAACTGCAATGAAATTATGGCAGATTTGTAGTAGAGAAAAATCAAGATTTTGTTATGGAAATACCTAATGCTTTAACAAAAAAGTCCCAGTCATGTCTTTAGGAGAGTTCAGCAAGAAAATAATACCGAAAATTACAAACATGATAGAATTGTACTTCTTTTACATAAATAATATTACTGGAGTTTTTTCCCAACACCAAATCGTTATTTTTAACATCTTCCTCTTTGAAGATGATCACTTGGTGATCGAAACACGTGTCGAGGTGTTAAAAATAACGATTTGGTGTTGGGAAAAAACTCTAGTAATATTCATTACGACACCAAAGGTTCCAAACAGTGCATCATAAGTTCTTTTACATAGTAACGATAAGAAAAACATAAAAAAATAGTTTTCTTATTTTTCTCCACGTCATCTAATAAATCACAATTTCCCATTACTGAAGTACTTTTTTCTGTAGGCGAAATCTCAATTCATTTCAATAACCATTGAATTCATCTTTTAACGTTCTATGCTGGGTTGAAGCTCATCAATTTCAGAAAGATAATCTTTTCAATAAATTCTAAATCAATTATTGCTTATTTCACGAAAGACAATATATGTTTACATACACAATTTTCCTATAAATTTTGGTTGTGAATAGTTTTTCATATCACATTATCTACAAAAGAAAATTTCAGGATTGGAATTTTGTCATTTGTACATACAAATATTCAAATAACAATAGAAAATTCAGGTTTACATTGAAAAATATTTCTATAGGTTTTTTAATTTCATATCAGATTATAACAAATATTGAATATGGTCTCTCTATATGAAATCATACAACTACTGGAATCTTCATTTCAAACATTTTTTGGCTATTTTCCATAAGATGAACCCTCAAAAATCTTTTGGGGAAAAATTCCAGTTGGCCAAAATCACATTTCAAAACAGTCAATAAAAATTTAAACACAGCAGTGCAATTCCCAAATATTCCACCTGTAAATACTAGTAGCTGCTCATCAATATTACACAATATTAAACTTAAAACAAGGAAACACAAATAACGACTTTCAGGTACTATTTTTATAGCTCAAAACTTTACGGTGAAATAACAAACATAAGAATTCTGTTTCTTTATTTTTGTCATTATTATTATTATAATTTCTCTCTTCTAGAATTTTTCTTCAAATTCACTATTAAGGGACATTTGAAAATAAATGAAAAATAAAGTTATTTTACTTGTTTTTTTCATTGATTCAAGTAATATTCGGTGTTTTTACATACGAGTGTTTGGTAAATTATTCTAAACATTTATTTATTTCGTAAACTTTTATTCACGCAGAACTGTCGATGTCAACAGTTTTTTTGGTTCTTTATATTGGCGTTTTCGCTGCCGACTTGACAACCATTAAGCTGATTTTAAAAGAAACTTGAAATTATTAAATAATTCCCTATAAACACCTGATTCCATTCAGATAAAACCCCCTAAAAACTCAAAACTTCACCTTCTTTACCGTTAAATGTCCTTCCAAAAATCAAGATAACAACTACTAATAACAATAATCATGTACACCAACTTCACGATTTACCAGCCAATTAACCTACCGAATTCGCACCCGAACAAAAAAAAGTGTACGCCACACAAACCCATCGAAAAGTTCGTTACAGCTTCCAGCGACAATAAAAAACAAAACAAATCTCTGTACCATCACGAACGTAGAGATCACATATCCATCCCGAAGAGTGAATACAAGCTAGTCGAAACTTCGTGACGGACAAAGACAGAGAAACTTTGGCTTGGGCCTAGCGTATGCCCAGTCGCGTGTTTAACGCGCGCTAAGGCAAGAACATGCGCCGACAGTGTTGCCAACTCTAAATTTTTACTAAGATCCACGTACTTTAGGCATTTCTTGAGAACCTTCAGTCCCGTTTTTTCTGTCAAATATTCAAATGAAAAAACATAAGTTCAAGACAAAATTCTGTAACACACTAAAGCAAATATTGAGATATTGTTTCCTACAATATATTTGGAGAAAACTAAAATAAGAAATATGCTTTCTACAGATAAACTTGCAGGCTTACTTTCTACTAGAATTGGATTAAGAACAAACCATGAACCTCAATATGAGCATATGAAATATTTTAATGAATGTCTGTGAAAATTCAAAGTTTAAGGAATAATTTGTATGTTGAGTAGGTGAAAAAATCAATTCAAAACACAATTCTCATTTAGTTTCATCACAGAAGTGAAAGACAAGCTCTCCTGATGAATTCAATAAAACTTATAATATAATTTCGAAGAATTTGCACTGCCCTGGAAACAAACTTCGAACAATCGATTCTTGCAATCAGAATGGAACAATATTGAATACTCTTTTCATAAAATGTCATTAGGAAACATATTTCTGTACGCTTACGTAAAAACTTTTGAGCCTAGTAGGACGCCTGAAAGTATTTGACGTGCACAAGTTGAAGCCACTTTGTATGATTTCAACTTCGGATAACTCGTCTATCCTCATCTTACTTGACGAAGTGAATGTTCCACATTGTTTCAGCTCTTTTTGTTGTACTATTTATAGAGATTGTGAACTAATTACTAAGAGCATAACTTTTCTCGAAAAAAAGCTTTCGTTTCAGTATAGTTCGTTATTTGTGGTTTCATTATGTTCATCCAGTATAATAAAAATAACGTGGATTTGCGAACTTCTCATATGACCTTTTTACACTGTATCTCAATAATTTTTTACTCTTCAGAGTTCGAGTTGGCAACAATGTGCGCCGAAGCTACAGGTAACTGGTTACTGCAACGTATAAAACCAGAACTGGTACAGGTTCGGTATCATTCACCCCGAGTCTTTAGTCGACGAAGTTGAACGGTTTACAGAGTGTAAAACTTCGCTAACGTTAGCTCATCGTCGAGTCTACTTCGAAAATGTGTTTTCGCAACAACAAAGTGCCAGAGACCAGCAAGCAGAAAGCTCCTAGGACTCCCAGATCGCCATGGAGACGACACAGAGAGGTTAGTGTTATTTTTTATATCCCAGCTACTTCAGCTGGTAATTCAAAATTTTCTATGGTAACACTTTTGAACCGTCTCTCATAACGCCTCTTCCTTTCAGCTGATGAAGCCAAAGCTCTCGAGGAAGATCGTCCCCAGCGCCAGGGTCAACTTGAACGCCTACTGGTCCAACTTCGAGGACTTATCTAAGAAGGGATCAGTTGTAACATTTGACGTCCCCCCTTCAACCGCTGATATTTTGAGGAGCTCCATGTTCTCAGCTTTTCACGACAACGAAATCAACGAAAACCTTGTCAACGAGCTTCTTGAACTCGGTAAAGATTAAGCTTTCGTAGTTTTAAGTTCTAGGTTAGTACTGTTTCGTTTTGTATATATTTTCGACTACAGCAGTCTTCCATTTCGTAGAGTAGTTTTAGGTAGTTATGATTTTAAGCTTTAATTTTTGGATCTGTATTTGGTTAAGCTGACTTTCTGAAAGTGCAATTTATTCAAAACGTGCAATATATCTCGAAAAGTGCAATAACTTAGATGCTTTAAATAAGACTGTGATATTATTTGAGTTTTTATTAATACGAGCCACAAATATCAAAATTTTTCCATTTTGGAACCCTCTACTTTCAGATATATAAACAAGAAGATGAAAAAGAATTGTGATACTAGAATTAGATCTCAATTATGTGATATTAGCATAGAACTAGTATTGTGATATGGCTTCTTCCTCACTTTCTCTTGCTTTCATTAGCACTTTCTTCTATGAATGTATATATTTCCTCAACACCTATACGTTTTGCTCAAGCTTTAAAGGATTGCTTTAAATCAACGAATTTTAATCGCAAATCGTCGATATGTTTCAAGCTTTGATTAGTTTTTAGGACTCCAACTGTGATATACAAAAAGCTTTAATTAGTATAGTTTCCGTAGGTTGCTTTTCTCTTTTTTCCAACTAACAGAGCTCGGCAATGTTTCCGGGTCCTGTTTTTTGTGATATTTTTTGAAAAACATAGGCCGACAAAGTGTCAATTCGATTGTATATAAGACTGCATGCACTTAAAATTAGTTCGCACCATTTAGGTTAGTACTGCACCATTCTTATTTTTTGCACATCACTTTTAGCTCTACTTTGAGTTAATTTTTCGAAAAAATGCTCGAGCTAACTATGTGATAGGTGTATTTTTATAGTTAATTGTATATTTTTCTGTGATATCAGCTTAACAAATGATTTCTTCCAGTGCTTATTGTAACAATAAACAAAATTTTAATTTAGAATTAAGTTAAACATTTGTTAGTTAATTAAGGTTCGATATAAGTTATATAAGTATGTTCACATCTCTCCCATTACGTCTTTCATTAGTTTTTTTAATGAATTAAATCATGTAAAATGTATGTAGTTGTGTTCTGTATCCATTTTGTATTTTATATATAATCCTCTTTGAAAAATAAAGTTCAATAAAGTATATTTTCGTTTTATTCAATACTAATAGTGTTATTCGAATAAACAATTGGAAAAAATGGGTGAAATTTCAAACTATTTGGAATTGTTGAAGTGATTCATAAACAAATTAGTCTGCCAGAATTATATGAAACCAAAAAGATTGACTTTTCTTTTAGAAAATTTGACTTTGAAAGTTTAAATAGATTTAATAGATGTGGTTCTGAATTAATTTTGTTCATTCGCCTTTTCGGTAATACAAAAAAAAATGGACAACAATATTTTTATCGACCTTTTCTTGGGTATTTCACCTTCCACAATTTGAAAAAATATGAATATTGTAGAGAAGAACTTACAATTTTCAGATTTTTCCAGATAATGAAAAGTGAAATTAAACAAAGAAGGTCCAATAAAAGTCTCCACAATTAATGATTTGTTCAGTAGGTACCTGCAATAACATTCCATGGAAAATATTAAATTTCTGCGATATATACTGACTTTAATTATGCAGGTTGCAATATTGGTTTTTTGTTCTCAATACATGAAGAAGGTTTTTTCTACATATGAATCAGTCCTAAAATTCATTTATAAAAACTCTCTTGGAAAAGTTACCCCTTTAGTTTAAATTATCAATACGTTTAAAATGTTATCTCTAATAATATGTATGTCTTCTTGACACATATTTTGTGTATGAATTTGTTAAGTTAATGATTATGTCAATTCTATTCATTGTAAAAAAAGTGTGTATAAGTGTAAGTTTTAATTGAATATAACATAGATAGTTTCGTGAAAGAATAAATTGTATGTTTATACTTTGTGAGAAATGTTATTAAAACAACGATAAAAATAAAATAAGAAAAACAATAAAAATTAATTGGCGCTCCGGGGCGACTTCATTGATTCCAGTGGCGCATTTGCTTTTTCAGCTGCAGGAAAACCCGGAAAAACCTGCAGCACCACATCATCTGAAGATCTTGATCTAACAATGTCCTCTCTCTTATAAAACAAAATGTAGGGTGTCTCCAGAGGCTACAATAATATATACTTCTACTATTTGTATTCACTTACCAAATTTTTTGTTTCAGAAATTACGCCAAAAATAAACGCAAAATGCTGATCTTTTCTACTGTCTTACTTAAAAAACTTCAGTTGAAGATTTCTGTCTTGAAGATATTTAAAAAATTTTGGTTTTTCATTATCGAAACATAATTTGAAGAAAAATTTTGTAATTCTGGATTTTCGTAAAAACCGTTCGTTCAAGAATACTCTATCTTTATGACGTTAAAACTGTTATTGAATAAAAAAAATCATGAAAGTCATTGAAAATCCTCAAGGAAAAAATAATTTACATGAATACTCACATCGTCAACTAGGTTTGTTCTACATCGATAATATCGAAAAATACCAGGCCTGGAAAAATTATTTTCAAGTTTTTAATCCTCCAGTACTTCTGTCAATTTAATAGATGAGTATTTCAAACATTCATCTTTCAAAATATTCTTCTTACCAGAAAAAATCTTTCAGGAATTTGTTTTTGTGTTTTATTTACAGTTTAAATGTTGAATTGCTAAATATGAAATGAAAAAAAGTATGAAATAGTGTAATCAGTTTAAACAAATAAAAAAATCACCACACAAAAGACTTTATTCAAATAATTATTTGACAATGAAAATAAGGTTTTCATTCAAAATGGAAACAGTTGAGTAGATCAGTCCGTTTGGTTATTATCTTATATTTTTTAGAAGTACGTTTCTGGAGAAATATGGGAAGCAATATATGAGAGTTCATTTGAGAAAACTCAACTTCCACACGACACTCTGTATATTATTGTATAATTTGGAAAGGTCCAACGCACCGATAGGTTATATTTTTCAGGAGAGCTTCTTTATAGAAAAAATGTGAGGAAATTCCGAAGCAACGAAGGAAACAATTAAGGTTCAAAATAAACGCTTTATGAAAATGTGTAGATCATCCATAGAAGTAATTTTCAGATACAAACTGGAAGAAAAAGCCCTTCCGAAACAACTAGTTTCACGTGTGCATTCAGTTACACGAAAAAAAAAGTACTTCCCAATCAACTACTTTCATATCAACATTGAATTATGAAAAATCACTTTTTCCTATTCATTTTGTACTCCAAACATTCGTTATACGGAATTGAAAAAGGTATCATTCATATGAACGTTACACTGTATAATTAAAAACGTAACTTACATGGAACAAATCATCCTCAATGGTGTTCTTCTAAGTTTCGGCAAAAGACACCTTTCTGAGTACTTCCTCAGCACCTTTCTGGCTTGCTATATTTTTTAAGAGGGAGAAGTGGAAAACTTCAATATATAAATATTCATTTTCAGTTTTCGTACGAGAATTCCGAATCGTATAGAATTCCTTTGTCGAAACGATAAAATAACTAATTATCATCATAAAAAACTAGTTTTATTAGGAAAGCAGGTTCAATACTAATACAAACAGAAGCCAATTGTATTTAACAACAGAATGATCCAGGCATATCGGCTCAGACACCTGTTCAATAACAATACAGTCGACCTACCCTAAGGCAGTGGGGAAAGTGGTCAAAGGTGAACAACCCTTATCAAAGTTCAGGGGGATAGAAACAGATGGCGTTAGAGGTACATAATCCAAGTGCCTGTTGATTCCCTCCCTCTAATCACTGTAATTCCGTCATGATTATTTTGTTCCGAATAGGGTGAATAATTTAACACTTCGGCGGTACGACACAGGGGTCTTTTGTTTACAGTAAATATAATTGATATGTTAATTATCCAGGCCACAGGTGTGTGAGTAAAGGAAATGGTATTTTTCAATGTATTTGAGTGTGGGAAGTATGATGAAATAATGCAGTGATTTGAGATAATGAAACATTTCCCACTGACTTTTTTACTACATATGTTTTTTCGGGACCAAGAAAAATAGTGATTACAGATATAGGATGCTAATTTTCTCATAAATATTGGTTATCAATGAAAACACAACAAAAGGTACTTAACTGACTATTCATGAAGTTTACAATTTAAATATTTGAATGAATATAATGAGCACAAAAACCACCGATTCACCATATATGATTTCTTTTTATTAATAGATACAATTGAAATTTGATATTACACTTAGCTTTTCCTTAAAAAGTGCTATTCTGAACATGCCAAATTTGACATTTTTTAAGGGGTTTCAAAAAAAAGGATTGTCTTTGTAAATTTTTAAAAATACCTAAGAAAAATGTTGTTCAGTTTTCCACCAAGTTCAATCACCTCCACAATTACGTCTAACTTTCCAATTTTTTTGGAATTTTCGCTCTACCGATTTAAACATTATCCGAAATTCCTATTTCCAATAAATATGAGAAGTAAATGCAATATCTTGTCCAAAAAATACTTTTATTGATCTATTATCAAAAAAATGTGATTGCAGAAATTTATTTTTGGTGCACAGTCCCTCTATTCATCTTATTTTGATCAGAAACTGACTTGAATTTGTTTTTCTGAGAAGTGAGTGAACGAGTCTGCTTTCAATTTCTAATGTGCTACTTTTTCTGTGTAGTGTATCAAATCATATTTTGACCAAGAATTTAGCTTCAATCAATTTCATAATATTTTGTTTTGGTTCGCCTGCATAGTCCGATAATTTCTTAAAAAGTTATTCTTTCGTAAATTGACCATTATTTATAATTTTTTTATAACTTCCATATCATATTCAAAATAAAATCTTAATGTGTCAATACATCAAATCTAAACATTCACATAACCGAAATCACAAATTCATTTTCATAACAATTTGAGAAAGCAAATGAAGATTTGGCAGATAAAAGCATGTGTTTTTGTGAATAAATTATTTATTTTGTTCCAATGTACATTCTGACAAATGTTCAGTTTGCCAAACCGACATGAGCTCGGTGTGTGTTTTATCGTCTGAGGCTCTTATTCTTATCAGAAAGTTTCATACCCAGTGTTAGGAATCACACGTTGAAAGGTAAGACCTCGTTAATTCTTAGCTCGCACAAGTTTCGACTTCTGAGGGTTGTCGTTCGTAGGGGTGTGACAGCTGGTTAACGGAAAAACAGATTTTTAAACTGTAGATATCTTGTTGATATATCTGAAAAATGAAATTTTACGGAAATTGTCAGAAGTCAAATTCACAAAAAATCTCGATATTTATTTTATTCAAAACACTTTTCCCACATCAGCACAAAAATACTATCTCTCGACGCACATTTAGCTAACCAAATCAGCAGGAGATGGCTAAAACTTTTAAATATCAAAATATTTTTTGTACCATAATTACCAATTCTACCTGAAAAATCAACATCTGTTGATTTATTATATACAGTGTGTAAAAGCCAACTGAAATAAATTCATTATTTTGGTTTCTGTATTTGTAAAAAATCCCGAAACACGTCAAATGTAAATTATAATTTGACATTCTTCAACATAAAATGCCACCCCTACCTTAAACCCCCTTCGAATGACAGGTATACAATCCCCAATTTTTAAATGGGAAGTATAGGTTTGTGATATATCGTTTGAAAGGTCTCTTCATTCTATATTCAAAAATATTATCGCTTTCAAGTTTATTGCAACAATTAAGATAAAATAAATTGAAATCGTGTGGTTATCGAAATTCCATAAAATGCACTCAAAAACTAAAATGTAATGCAAAACGTAATGAAATGCAGAATACGAAAAAGAACTATGGATGTTATCGAAGTAGATGTTCAGAATGTTCACCGGAAACGTCTTGGCAACATCCTGATCTCAAATAAAACTGTATTCAAACATTATTTAACACTTAAGGCGTGACCGACCTAATCGCAAGCGTTATTCGTTCTGTCAAGTCTTGCTCTTTACATATCCCCATAAAAAAAATCTAATGATGAAAGATCAGGTGATCGCGCTGGCCATTCAAACGATTCTCGCCTCCCTATCCACTGATTGGGAAATGTTGTATCGATGTATCGATGTATTGCCGGACATTAACTTGGTAATGTGGTGGTGCACCATCCTGCTG